GACCACACCTGACCTGAAGGAATTTGTTAATGACAAGTCACATTGTAAATGAATCCCCCTTACTTCCTTATAACTGAAGGAAATCTGGCTCAGTGATTTTGTTCACCGAAGTAACCGAGCCTGGTTATGCATTAGTTGCTACTTCTAAGGATAGAGAGGAAGTGAACCACACGAAAAGTAAAAGGAAGACAACTTTTCTACCTCTTAACAGTGGACCCATTAAAAATCTAATAAAGTTAAAGAGTCTCATAAAATATTTACCTTAGTCACTATTCGAGGCAAGTAGCAATTGCCTGCCCAGGACAGTAGTCTTCTGTTTCCCTCTCAACGAGGGAAGCACTTTTCTAAGGCTTTCAACAAAGACCACTGTAGCTGTAATTCCTGTGTCTGTGAGAAACTCTAAATTATTCATCCAGCCTGAGCCTGATGGAAAAGGACCTGCACACTGCACTGGCATTCCAGGAATCAAATTGCCTGTGGCGTGATGCCAGCGTCAGGTGATGCCGGCTCTGTTAGTGATATTGCCTGTGTAGGTAGGTCTGACACCACACTAAGCACCGCTGAGATTAGAAAAGCAAACAGAAAACCAACAAAATCAGAACTAGCCTTCTAAATCCTACATTTCCTTTCTTCAGGAATGAGACCTTTGGTCTTGGCCTGATACTGTTTCAGCTGAAGGTACATGAACTTCCTGTTGGCATTAAGAACCCTTATCCTAAGAAGACTGGGTTCTTCAAGAAAAGGGAGTTGGGGGGAAGGGCGGAGGGGAGAATCCGTACTGTGAAGCTGCTCTGGTGAGTTTAAAAATAGAGTAAAAAATGCTGTTAAGGCAAAAGTGGCCATGGTTTACCAGAAGGCATTAGAGAGAGGAAATGAGGGCTTTTGCTCCCTTATGAAATGAAATGGTAATTTACACAGACAGACTTAGAAGCTGGGCAGAAGGACCATAGCCTCATGTATCTGTACTTCCATCTCAACTGGATCAAGCTCAGAAAAAGGGTTTGGGGAGCAAAGTAACTGAGAAAGTGGCACTATTCCCTAGAATCAGGGTTTAGTCAGTATTGATTTGGGGAGGTGCCCGTCTATCAGCATCTTCATAACTGCGCGAGTCACTTTAAGTATTTATTAAGTATTTTATTGTCTCATTTGAACCTAACAGCAAGCCCATGAGGAAAAAGTCCTCTTAACCTCATTGAACTGATGAAGAAGCTGAGGAGCTGAGAGACTGAGGGGCATTCAGTTAGTCTCAGATACAGCATTTAAGCCTAGGTCTTCCCAGCTCCAAGTCTGCTGGCCTGTTTGAGATGTCCAAAAATCCTTACTGGGTTTGTTTTTTTTTCTGTTTTCTCTTTTCCACTCAAGAGGAGATTAATGCTTTCCCAATTAGTTTGATATAGTTTAGGGCCCTGAGCATAAAAGATTTTCAGGTGGGTAGAGACTTCATCAGAAGTAGAAGCTAAGGATTTAAGTATGGCTATTCAGCCTTTGGCCAAGGAAGGCTAGAGGCGGGTTCTTCACTCTTACTTCTTGGTTGGTTAGTGGGTAAAATGCCCAGGGAATGAAAAGAATGTAGGAAATAGTCGTTACCTTCTGACCCTGTGCACATGTGCTCACACCACAGCATTCTCTGCCCTGCTGAATGAGTGGGAGTACTTGTTAGAGGTTGAGAAAGGGCAGCATTTCAGTGTCCCCATGGGTTCAGACAATGCACAGATGTTCAAAGACCACCTTAGCTTTTTGGATTTGAGCCTAAGGCACTACTAAAAAAAAAAAATGTTCTACAAGCCCCAAGAAGAAAGATCCTGAGAATTCCCAACTAGAATGTTGGGGAAAGTTTTGGACCCCATTGGCAATTCCACTGAATTCCAAATTCTCCTTGGTATCCCACAGAAGACAGGTGGATCTACTATTCTCATAATCTAATCACTAAGCCTGTACTGTCATTGTTGACACAGTATAGAGGGGGTTGTCCTAGTGCAGACTTAGAATCAGAATGCCAAAGTCTTGTATAAGGAAACATGGAGCTCTGGACAAGACCATAAAGTGAACTAGCTTTACTGATATTCACAAAATGAAAGACAGTCAAGAAGAACGATGGAAACAGGCCAGGTCCACTGGGATCCTGGATAAGACTTTGCATTCTGCTGAGCCCCCTAAAGCAGTGGGCTAGCAGACGTTGCCTTCTTAAGTGACCTTTTCCAATTCAAGCAACTAGACCAGAGCACTCTAGCTGTAGCTGTTCTAGACACTTAGCATGAGAGAAGATTGATTGCTGGAGAGTTTGGGTGGAGGTGTACATGGTGTTCATTTATTAGCTGAGAGCTCCAAACTAGAGTGAAGCTAGTTATCAGATAGGGGTTGGGGAAAGAGAGTGTAAGGCAAAAGAGTGATAATCAATTTAACTTACAGTCACGTAGGATCACTTCTGCTGTTTGGAGGTTTATATATGGGTATTGTGATCTTTCCTTCCCCGTTACACTTCTGGACCCAACACAGCCCAGAAATTGAATGTGTTCCTAAATTATGCCCCTGGATAGCAGATGTTTTAGTAAAAGCTGGAACATCTTTTCATCAGTGCAGATGAGTCCAGTTCTAGTCCAACAAAAATTTATTGATCACTTATTCAGACATTAAGTCATATCCAACTGTCCGTGGGGTTTTCTTGACAAAGACACTGGAGTGGTTTGCCATTTTCTTCTCCAGTGTGACCCCATTTTACAGATGAGGAAGTGAGGCAGATAGGGGTTATTTGTCCAGCTTCACACGGGTAGTAAGTGTCTAAGGCCATATTTGAACTCGGATCTTCCTGATTCCTGGCTTGGTGCTCTATTTGCCACACCATCTAGCTGCCCCTAGGTTATCAGGCACTTAGTGTGAAACACTAGGCTAGTCTCTGTGGATACAAAGACAAAAGACAGTCCCCTGCCCTTCAGGAGCTTCTGGGGAGGTGGATGGGGGCGTGGCTATGACTTGTAAACAGAGAAGTATGATACAGGATACAGGACTGTTTGAGGAGTCTGGAAAAAGTACGAGCACCTAGAGGGATCATGTCTCAAGGAGGGTACCATTCTAGAAGCTGAGGGATCTCAGCTGTAATCATCACTTTTGTGCCTCCTTTTCCCAAACCATAAGGCAAAGGTAGTTATTTACCTCCTCAGCCTTACTTCCTCCAGATCAATTATCACTGGTAATCCTATTATTTTTATATCCTACATATTGTCTTAGGGTTTACAAAGCACTTTATAAATGTCTTATTTGATCCTCACCACAGATGGAACTATTACTATTTCCATTTTGCAGATGAAGAAACTGAGTCTCAAGTTAAGTGACTTGCCCCATGGTCATAAAACTAGAAAGTATAGAAGACAGGAACTCTGCTTCATAACATAAGAATTGTAGTTATATCCATTCAAATGATAATAACTCTACCTGGAAAGATATTGACTTCCCATTTAGGAAAGAATGAAAGTATAGTTTGCCAGAAATTAACTTGGACTGGGACTCCAAAGAAGGGGAATTAATACATTAATAGTGATCAACAGAGAGAAAAACAAGATGGTGTCTGTGTGGCACAGGACTCTAGCTTTTCTCAGCTACCCAGTTGTTGTTAGATTGTTTCCGTCATGTCTGACTCTCTGTGACCTCATAAGCACTCTACCTTGAGGCTCAACTCTGTTGGGAGGCAGGCATTGGTTAAGGGTTGTGTTTGGTATTGGAGAAATGCCAAAAGCTCTACCACTTTATGGCTTTTCCATAAAAACTGGGAGGAGGAGCTCTGGAGAGATAAAGAAGAGAGCTAAGACTTTGAAGTCCTTTGGGTTTTTCTTGGCAAAGATACTGAATTGATTTGCTGTTTCCTTCTTCAGCTCATTTTATGGATGAGAAAACTGAGGCAAACAGGGTTAAATGACTTACCCAGGGTCACATAGCTAGTAAGTATCTCAGGGCTTCCTGACTGCAAGGCCAGTGCTCTATCCACGGCAGTCATCTAGCATGATGGAGAATGTGACTGACGCTGTGTGAATTTCCCAAACAGAACTTGGCTTGATGAGGAATCTGGCTTGCTCTAGCTCACAGTAATGGAAGACATGACCGGCATAACCACATCTGTTTGTTTGTCACTGTCTCCGGGAAGATTTACCTTCAAGGCTTGGGGGTAGGGAGATGAACTGTTGGGGAGGGACTTATAAAAACCTGCTGTATCTATGTTCAAGCATGCCCTGACACTGAAAGGTTTTTCAGTGCGGGTCACCCTTTCTCCCAAGATCATAATAAAAATTCTTTTCTGCCTTCTACCTGGAGAAGCCTCTGAATTTATTAGAAATAAGGATAGCTGTCCCACACAAGTCCTTTTTGCTGGAACCCCAAGATGGCGGTACCGGGCCCTGCTGAATGAATTCAACTCAAATCTTCTTCAGCCAGAGGAAAAGTTTATTAGTTATAAATCACATCGGCCAGATGACGCCCGTAAAGATGAGCGGGCCTGAGAGGTTCTCAGCCTTGTGGGCCTGAGATTCTCAGCATCTGAATGAGGGCCAAGGTGGATCTTAAATATTAAAGTAACTTTGGGTGGCCAGAGAAAGAGGTTGGGAAAAGGGTCTAGGTAAGAATTCTAATTAGGGAGGTCTGAGAGATTGAATGGACAATGGGAATAGACAATGGAGGGAACAGGAAGGCAGAAGTTTGAAAGGCATCTGCACAAAACCAAGGAGGGGCTAGGACTTTCAAAAGGAGATAAGGGGAGTTGATAAAGGAAGGCCTTTCTGGGGCCTATAGACAAAAGGGAGCCAGATCTGAATTAGATTAAAAGGTGAGGCTAAGGCTTTCAAAGGGAGATGAGGGTCTGGGGCCTGTGAGTCACATTCCCTCTGGGGCAAAGGACAAAGATCTTGGCTTGGGCCCCGCCCCCCTCACTTTTCAGAACCACTGAGGTCTTCTACCTTATCTGCAATCTCTGCAGCTTTTCCTTGCTGTTAAGGAAAAAGACTCAGGAAATGCAGCATTTTTCACACCTGACCTTTATTGGATTCACATAGACTAGAATTCAGGCCCTTCACGACTCTCAAGCACCCTCCCTTCCCCAAGGGTTTAAGAAGATACCATCACCCTGTGAAGAGCCAACCCAGACTTTGGAGTCCTGACTCATCACCAACTGGAGTGTTGGGGAGCTGAAAGGGAACAGGTGGACAAGAAAGGAAGGAATGTTGAACTGATGGTACTGATCTTGGGCATCTCCTGAGTCCAGCAGGCCTTGGGAGAGATCCTAGACCCCTGAAAAGGGAACTCTGAGGCTGGAGTAGGGGGAGATGGGAATGTATACTGAGCAGCTCATCTATATGGCAACTTTGAGGAGACGCTTGATGTCTGGTTCAATATTGATGGTGGGGAAGGATCGGCTGTATCGGCGAAAGGGCTCACCCTCAGGCCCCACTAGGAACTTCTCAAAGTTCCAGGAAATATCTGAGCGACGCACAGGACTCCACATGATGAGCTTGGGGTCTGTCATGAGGGAGAATGGGTCATCATCAGGGTAGGGGAGTTTATCCTTCAGGTAGGCAAAGACAGGATGCTCATTCTGCCCATTTACCTCACACTTTTGGACTAGGACAAAATTGGGCTGGAAGCCAGCCCCAGGGCGGACGTACTTGAGACTGTTCAGGATCTCTTCATTCTGACAGTTTTCCTAGGGGGAGAAAAAGAAAGAGGTGGAAATGGAATGGAGGATATATACCATGTCAATCTTTCATATCCTCTCGTACTTGCCATCCATATTCTCTCTTCTCCCTTTCTTCCTCTTTTCTCTCTCACCCTCTTCCCCCCACCCTTCCTATCCACTCTTCTTCTTACCATTAACTTGGAGTTTTTGCCTCACAGCATCCTTCCTCTTGGCTCCCTGCCAAGAATATACCTTTCTTGGAATCCTTTACTGTTTACTATCCTTACGACACATATCCTTTGAACTTTTATAGCTCCTTAATTGTCCCTTCACTGAACAAAGCAACCTTTTAGGTTACCCGGCTATTGCCTAGGTGTAACCTACCCTGAGTGGTGCTGGGGACTCGTGCTTAGGAGAGGAAATGGGTGAAGGAAAAGAGGAGGAAAAGGGAGACTTCAGATCATCCTGTAGGCCAGGAAACACTCCTCAAAAAATCCTGATACTTCCTTCCCCATCTTCTATGACTATTGTTGCTCGATACCACAAGTATTGAATGTAGCCTCTTTCCCTGCCCCAGTAATCCCCACTGGCCAACAGGATGGGGACTTTCAAGAAACAGGATTTCTAGTCTCTTGCTCCTACCCCTGGCCTAGCACTGAACTGTCAAGGCACCTTGTTTCTCCTTTCCACCAGTCTGGGGGCCAAGCTACTTCTGTAGCTTGGGAAAAGCCCTTCTCTCTGCCCCACTACAGCCAATTAGTACAGTCATGTCAGAACCATATCCCTTATCATTTATCCCAAGTTAATTACTACTAGACCTCCTATCTCTTATGTTAATGTCTAGTTAATTGCCGCTAGGTCATGGGCTCCTTCCAGCTGCTCACTCTTTAGAGAAATGATGGAGTGGGGCTGAAGAAAGCAGCAGCATTTAGCTCTGGCCTATTCCTATTGCAGTGCTCAGTCTAGAGATAATGTGATGCAGATGTTGTCTGTTTGTCCAACCTCTTTGATCTTCCTCTTTTTACCTGCCCTTCTGGCTTTCCTCTCTTCACATCACTACATCTGGAATGACTGCTAGGGCCTTGCCTGCTTTTCCTAACAGAATTGTGCATAAAAATGGTATAAACCCTTAAAAGACAGCTAAAACATTGAGACTAGAGTATCTAATAGTGGCACACTTGCAAACAGAGATAGATACAAGTGATATTCAGATGAGTTTGTACACTACACCCATCCCCTTCACCCAGTGTTGACTTGGTTACTGACAAGCATTCTATATAAATAACACCTGGTTTTTGTATAGTACTTGAGACTTTACAAACTGAGTTCACATATTATCACAAAAATCCTGTTATTATTGTTTCCCATTTTATAGATAAAGAAATTGAGACTCAAAAAGGTTGTGACTAGCCCAATGTCACATTGATAGATAAGGATAAATCCAGCTGATGTCTCCAGAAACAGATTGTCCAATTTAGTTTTCTTTCCATTTTACCATATACCATATACCATCGTTCATGTCAAGATGTGATCATTGAGTGGTCAGCTGCAGACTCAGAATGACTGCATAGACTCCCTTTTGGTACCCCATGGTTTTTTGGCACACCAACCTAAATGCACAGAGACACCAGTATGTTTGAGGGTGTAGAACATGCATGTTTATACACAGACACTACTTCATCCTATTCTTCCTACCCCAACCTGCCTCCACAACCACAAAAATGAATTCGCCTGAGAAGGTAAGCAGGAGGCCAGTCCTGCCTCATGGGCATCATGCCCGGTACCCCTCACCTGATGTCCAAACTGGTTGCAGGGGAAGCCTAGTATTACGAGGCGCCTCGGGAAGCGGCACTGCAACTCGTTGAGCTGGGTGTAGTCCCGGGTGGTTGTGCCTCAGAGCGAGGCCACATTCTCGATGAGTACTGCCCGACCCCGAAAGGTGTTGAAATCTATCTTTTCTCCTTCCAGGCTGGTAGCACTGAGGTCGTAGAAAGATTTGGCGATGTGAGCCATGGTAAGAAGGCAGAGTGACTCCTGAGTGGGTGTGGAGCCTACTTAAAGGGCCTGTTGAGAGTTGGGAGGGTTGGGAGGGAAAAGAGGAGGAACAGGAAAAAAGGGAGAGTCTGTTGGGTTTGAGGTTAACTGTTCCCAGAATGATTTAGCACAAATCATCTTATACTTGTAGGAGTAATCTGAGTAAGTGCCAGTTATTTATAGCCTCCAAACAAAGCACCTGCCCCACCCTGCCCTGCTTGGCAACCTAGGCCGTGTTGATGTGTTATCTCTGGGTATATGTGAATAATTTAGTTTCTCTGCCCTGCCTTAGGAAACCAGAACCCCTAGAGGAGGGGGGGGGGATGAGAGGTAAAGTGATGAAAGAGCTGAATCATTGACGCATACCTGTAATAGGGGGTGCAACTATTCCCAAGGACATTAACCGAGTGCCCATCACATCCTAAAGAATGTACACCAGCAACTGTCTGGGTGACTTTACTGCAAAGATCAGTTTTAACTATTGTGTCAGGACTCCTTTAGCAATGCAAAATGAGACCTTTTTATGACTATGAGAGTTTCTGAGGCTAAAAAGTTCACAAATCTATGGACATCTAGGCTTTCTCCAAACATATCTAGGCCCATACTCAAAAGGTTTTTTTGTTTGGTGGGATTCATCAGACCTTAGGCACTGCTGGCATAGCTTTTAGGACCCGAGGGCCTCTGTGTCATTATGAGATATTGGATTATTAGGAAGGAAGCATTTATTAAGCACTTTACAAATATTATCTCATTTGGTCTTTATAGCAACCCCGGAATGTAGGTATTATTACTATATCTTTACAGTTCAGGAAACTGACACAAACAGAGGTCAAGTGACTTGCCCGTGGTCATTCAGCTTGCAAATGTTTGAGGCTGGATTTGAACTCAGGTCTTCCTGGCCCAGCACTATCCACTGAGCTACTCTCTGTCACTTTTAGGAGATATAACTGGGAAAGCTGGGTAACTCTCAATGTCAAATATTCTACCATATGGTCCTTGTAAATCATCATGACATCCTAGAAGTTCCAAAATGTCCTCAAATAGTATCTAAATGAATCGAATCAGTAAGCATTACAATAAAATATGCAGGGATACTCCCCTTCACAAAGTTAATTGATTCCATGAAAATGGAAGTTAGGAGAGCATTAAATTGGTTGTGTGCCCTTGGGCAAGGCACAAAGAGAGGTGAACTCTCTTGGGATGTTTCCTCAGCTGTAAAATTAAACCTCTAATACATACTAGCTGTGTAATCAAAGGCAAATCATATAACCTCTAGTGTGCCTAGCAACTTTCTTTTTCTTTAAAAAAAATTTCAAATTTTATTGAGAGTTCACCAGTCCCAAGTTGGCTTGGAAACATTAAGCAGCCTTCTCTTTAGCAACACATTCCTTGAGTAGTCCCATGCTTTCCTGTCTACCATGGAAGAGAGCAGCTGTGGCCAAATTTGTAAGTGGTGCTCATGAACTTCAAATCAAATCTTCTCTAGGACATGACATTTCATCCATACCAACAGGGGCTTTCTTTTTTTAAAAATTAATTAATTTATTTTGATTTATCAACAATCATTTCCATAAGCTTTTGAGTTTTAAATTTTTCTCCCCCTTCTCACCTTTCTCCCCAAGATGGCTCACAATCTGATATAGGCTATACATATACATTCCTATTAAACATATTTTCACATTAGTCATATTGTAAGGAAGAATTAGAACCAGTAGGAGGAACCACAAGAAAGAGGAGACAAAAGAAGGGAAAAAAAGAGCAAATAGTATGCTTCAATCTGCATTCAAACTCCATTCTTTCTTTGGATGTGGATAGCATTTTCCATCATGAGACTTTTGGAGATGTGTTAGATCCTTGCATTGCTGAGAAGAGCTAAGTCTATCGAAGTCAGTCATTGCACGACATAGCTGTTACTGTGTACAACGTTCTCCTGGTTCTGTTCACTTCACTCAGCATCAGTCCATACAAGTCTTTCCAGGTTTTTCTGAAGTCTGCTAGCTCATCATTTCTTATAGCACAATAGTATTCCACTATATTCATATACCACAGTTTGTTCAGCCATTCTCCAATTGAAGGGCATCCTCTCAATTTCCAATTCTTTGCCACCACAAAAAGAGCTGCCATAAATATTTTTGTATATGTGGGTCATTTTCCCATTTTTATGATCTCTGGGATACAGCAGGGACTTTCATTAGGTGAAAACAAACTTCTTGGTCCCAAGTCTTTCAGCATGATAAAGTCTCTTTGTTATAGTGGACAGATCTTCCCAGAGAGAACAGAGTTTGTGGATGCATTATTTTTTATCAGTTTGCCATCCCTGGTCTTGGCCTTGGACAATCTTGTCAATGTTGTTTGTGTTAGTGTGGTGAAGATACCCCTTCTGACTAGCCTAGGCCACAGAGAATGCCACATGGGCAGGTACCAAGCTCTCCATGCAAGTCATTTCTGCAGACCTTGGTGGGTTTAAAGGAGCAGCTCCTTGATGTACTAGAGGCTAGTGATGACCTTGTAACCCTTGTCCTTTATCACCCCAGTGACATCAGTCACCTCGTTCTGCCCAAACAGTAGACCCTGGCACTTGGTGCTTCAGCTTTTCCCAGGCTCAGTCCAGGTTCTCAGCCACATTGCCACCATTTACCTAGATTTTTTTTTAACAGGTGAGACTTTTTCTTTGGCGGAGAGGAGGCATCTCTGGGTATAAGCAATGACTCAGTAACCTTAAGTCTTTATCTAGCTGTTTCTTGCCATCACCATCCTACCATTTCTTATAGTACTTAGTGAAGGATTTCTTGGATTTATGCCAATTGTTGTACAACCACCTCTTCCATTAATAACTGATGGAAGTATGGTTTTGAATATACAGAGGCTACAGGTATGTATATAGCCGATGATGACTGTAATGATTATGGTGGAGCATTTCTACAATACTGTCAATCTTGTCCACTTATTTCCTATTCACCTTGGAGCCAGACCTGTTCACTTCCTGAACAGTGTGATTCTTGTAGCCTAGGAAGTCTGTGAGCTAGATGGGCTTGGTGGAGTCATCTTTGGGGAAGCTCTTCACCATTCCCTGATGTCTTTGGCTTTATTTCCAAGGCAGGAAGTCCACAGATCCATGCCTGGGAGAGGAGAGCTTCTAGTAGGACATACTGCTGCTGTCACCACATCGAGCTGGAGAACCCTAGTCTTCCCACTGCTCCTTTATCTTCGTGCCTTCTCTCTGAAACTAACCCCCCCCCCCATTTATCCCATGTATATACATACATACATATATATATATCTTGTTTGTGAGTCATTGTTTGAATGTTGTCTCCCCCACTAGACTGTGAGTTCCCTGACACTAGGGATGGTTTTTGTGTTGGCGTTTTGGTTTTTTTTGCCTTTGTTATCTCAAATATTTAGCAGGGTGCCTGGTGTATATAGTAGGAGCTTAATTAAATGTTAGTTGATTTGACTGTACATGTCACACAGGTTCAAATGGCCAAGAAAGAAAGAAACCCTCACTGACACGGTTCTGAATTGTAGCTTAGGGACTGATACAAAATATAATTTGAGATCTCTACAGCTCAAGAGCTCCCATTGTTCTAGCTCAGTTTGAGCTAGGTTTGAAACTCTGTCTGTTACACAGGCAATTCTTTAGATACCTAGTTAATTTAACAGGAGAAAATGGAAAAGAAATAGACTAAGTGTTCCTACAGGGACCCTCTGCCTGACCTTATAGCAGATTCTTCCCAAGGTCGTGGAAAGGAAATAAGGGGACTGATGCTATTCCTAAGGCCCAACTTTAGGTTCTGGACTGGAACAGTGAAATTGAGGGAAAAGCCAAAGCAAGTTTGGGAGTCAGACCAGTCTTCCGACCTCACCATCTGTGAGGTTCAAAATTGTCCAATGTGCAAGAAAAACCAGAGGCTGAGCTCCAAGGGTCTAAGGCCACCTCGAATGAAGTGGACCTTAGATCTTCCTCACAATCTGAAATAGCCCCTTACTTCAGGGCCTTGGTGTTATAGTGCTGGAGAGGGCTAGGACTTTTGGGGTGCTGGGACCCCAAGATCACGGTACTGGGTCCTGTTGAATGAATTCAACTCAAATCTTCAGCCAGAGGAAAAATTTATTAGTGATAAATCACAGAGGCCAGGTCGTGACGCCCCTAAGGACGGGCAGGCATGAGAGGTTCTCAGCCTTGTGGGCCTGAGATTCACAGCTGGGTGACGCCAGTAAAGACCCAGTAAAGACGAGGGGGCATGAGAGGTTCTCAGCCTTTTGAGCATGAAATTCTCAGCATCTGAATGAGGGCCAGGGTGGATCTTAAATACTAAAGTAACTTTGGGTGGCCAGAGAAGGGGGTTGGGAAAGGGGTCTAGGTAACAATTCTAATTGGGAAGGTCAGAGAGATTGAATAGACAATGGGAATAGCTAATGGAGGGAACAGGAAGGCAGAAGTTTGAAAGGCATCTGCACAAAATCAAGGTGGGGCTAGGACTTTCAAAAGGAGATAAGGGAAGGCCTTTCTGGGGCCTATAGACAAAAGGGAGCCTAAGGCTTTCAAAGAGAGATGAGGGGAGTCGATTAGGAAATTTGAAGATTTAAGGGTTTTCCAGGTCCTGTAGACAAACAGGAGCCAGATTTTATTCAGGGCAAGGGTTGAAGGTGCATCTGAATAAGATCTAAAGGTAAGCTAGGGCTTTCAAGGGGACATAAGAGCTGGGGTCAGTAGACAAGTGGGAGCCAGATTCCCTTTGGGGCAAAGGCAAATCTTGTCTTGGGCCCTGCCCCCATCAGTGCTTGATACCCAGAGACATAGAAGGGACAAAGTAAAATACAGAGTTTCATTGGATGATAGACCTTGTTTTTGACCCTCCAGGAAGACCAGCAATGATGCATCAGCATCACAGGATGGGCAAGGCAAGGGTCATCTCTGCTGTCAAAATCATCTTTGTCCCATCTAATGAGGTTTGTGGAAGCTGCTTAGCCTGCCACCTGGTGCAGACTTACCTCTCCACATTCTGGTCCCTGATTGGTTGCTCTGGATCCAAGCTGACCTCAGCCGTCCCGTTGCTTCACAGTGGCAGCAATCAGTGGCCACCACTCACATGACCTTCCTGTAGGTTCTCAGTCTAAAAGCAAAGCAGCAAAAGTAGGCAGCATCTCTCTGCCTTCCCTATACCAAATGCAGTGGCAGATACAAAGTCAAAGAAAAGAAAATGGGGACATTCTAGGACACTGTATATGTGTGCCCAAATCCCACTGCTTCCTTCTTTTCTCACTAGTCATCTTCTCTTTGTTGGGAACTTCTGGTGAGTGGGGAGGACAATCTTCAGGACCTAAATTGTCACATTCTCTCATGATCTTCTCCAGGTAGGGAACATCGTCGTTGTCATTGTTGTCATTCAAAGAGTACAATGAATATAGCATTGGACACACACACACAGAGTCCTGACTGGTATGTTTTCCCTGATTATCAGTGATTTCAATTAATCAATAGACTTAATTAGCTTTTAAAATGGGATATTTATTATGGTGGTATAGTTGGTACAAAATATCCCCCCCCCCCAAATGTCTGTAACATACTCTCCCATTAGGATATATACAGAGTCTAGGGGAAAGTGGAGTAGAGCATGGAGAATGTGTGGCAAACATTACAACTCACAGATCCTAGAAGTCCTTTTGTAGGAGTCCTCAAGATATTTTCCATAGGTATAGTGGTAGATTTCTGCTAGATTCCTCATAGAGTCTTGAAACTGCCTTTCCTCAATATGTCTTGCATATTCTCATTTCTCAATATAGACACTGTATCAGCTATTCCAGAGATGCTGCAAGGACTAGGAAACCAATGAAAAAAGTCCAAATTGTCCAGCCCTCTGAAATTCATTAAGTATTCTCTAGGCAAGGGGGCAGGGAAGAGTCAGAGTCCAAGACCAGGGCTCTTCTCTTCTCCTCTCCTCCCCCACCCTTCACCTCAAGCAATTCCTTCTCAGGGACTTAGCTAGAGGCTTCCACCACAAAATTGCTAGGTTCTGCTATTTTATACAAAGTGGTCTGCTGTTCTTATACAAAAACCCACAAGATGTGACCAGATGACCTCAACGAATCTAAACACAATTCCTGGGCAACATCATTCCAATTCATGTAATGACTTTCAAGGAAGTCTAAATTGGTCAAGGATTTTTCTGCACTTAGCCTAAAGTCTGTGATTGATTAGTTGATATCTATACCTCATTCATTCTTGTGAATTCTGGTTTTTCCTCATCTGAAATGAAGGGGGTAATTGATTGACTCAGTTGATTCCTACCCTTTTACCTACACACACATACATTCACACACAGAGACACACACACACCCCTACATATATTAAATATTTAAATGGATTAATAATCAAGAAAACAGAATTAAGCACCTTATATTTGATATGGAAATGTTTTGTAAAGCCAGGCAGGAGCAGAGGGAGAAATAAATATAGTCAAGGTCAGAAAAATGAGAAAAATAGAAAGAAAGAAAGAAGCAAGAATTTTAAAAATCTGTATCTGTGCCATGAGAAAGCAGGATGACCAATTTATGGTATAATGACTTACAGTCTTTCAAAAAGTATGTAAGTAGCTTAGCTCTTGACCTCTGTTCTCTTTGGTTCAGTACACTTGGAGTGAAGGACTGGAGCTAATCTATAGGAACCTTGTATCTCAATTCAGAATGAACTGATTGCAGCCCCTTTTTATCCATGGGGAAGCAGTGGTTAAATAAGTGGAGATGAAGGAAGTACAAATTTCTAATCAAACTTTGGTGTTTTAAAGCAGGAAGATCCATAATTAATATGGGCATAATTCCTTCCCATAGTGACTACCACCCTTTTACTTTCCTATGCAGTCCTCTGCTGCAACCGTCTCCAAGATGCCGCTCCCAGGGTCTCATCATGGTGCCCTTTTCTTAAGGCGTTCCTTGAAGGAATGAGAGCTGGATTCTGCCTGTGATCAGTCATCTATGCAGACACCACACCCTGATCCCCCAACAGTTTTTGCCCCAGATAAAAAAATCCTAGTTATGACTGAAAGAAAATGGACTAGAAGCATGAAGAACAGGATCCAAGAGAAAGGAATAATCACCCAGACCTAGACTATGTCAGTGTCAGTAAACTTCCTAGAATTATTTACAGAATCATAATCTCTTACTTCAAAGGGTATTTATACATCATTAATTCTAACCCTAGGAGGTTATAGTTACTAATACTTTGGCTATCACTCACCAAAGGGCCTTCCATCAGTATCTCCTATTCTAAGAAGAGTGTGAACCTATTAACAGGCTGGGCCCCTCATGGAAGATTTACCCTACCCTGTTCGTAGTACCCTATTCCTGGAATTGCTCTAATTCTATAAATTGTTAATCATGTAGAAAAGGGGGGCTTTTGAGCATTAGGGAAATCACCCTCAGCCCCTCAGGGCTAACTTTATAACCCTGAGTATACGTACTGGCGTGATCTGGGAGCCTAACCTGCTAGTGCAAATGGGAGTTTGGGAGAGTAACTGCAAAGCATTCACTACACTATATGGCATAATTTCCATTCTGATCATGCTCTAGATTTTCAGTGTCTTTTTAAAAATGATACAGAGCTGAACACAGTACTTCAGATATCAGTAGGGGATAGTAGATGAAACTATTGCTTTTTTTGTTCTAGATACTATGCTGCTTGATGCAGTCTAAAGTTATACTGTAGTGTTCTATGAAAAGCCACCATGTAGTATCATTATAGTCTTCAGACAACCAAAATTACAGGTGACCCATAGGACATGAAGTTCCTCTAAGGTACAGTATAGTTTTCTGGTGGACTCCTCATAGAGCCTCGAATCTGCCTTTCCTCATCACACCCAGTTTATCTTTGGCTCCCAGTGCAGACATGTGCATCAGCTATGGCTGTCCTGGGAATGCTGTTAGGATGCACTGGATGGTCAAAATCCTCCTGTCCTCTGAAATTTGTTAGGTCCTCCTCCAGTCAAAATGAGGAGGGCAGGAAACTGAGGCAGCATGGGTGTTCTCCTACCCATGCACCCACAAGTGACTCCTTCTCAAGGGTGTGACTGGAGGCTTCTCTCCACTGCCAGATGCTCAGATCTCTTAGGTTTTGAACTGGCCTGATGGAAGATCCGCAGAATGTGACCAGTCCTAACAGACTTCCTATAGCACCTAGTTAAAATTCCTTTTGATTGATTGATTGATGTGTTCCCACTTAGTTAAAAATCTGATAGATTCAGTGAGATGTTTCTCACTCAACAATGGCCCTCAGAACTAAATAGGGTAGAGTCCTTAGGGTTACCCTCTCCTTACAAAAGCATTAGTTAAAGGAATTGGGGATGCTTGGGAGAGAACATTTAGTGACTGGAGCTATCATGGTATTTGAAGGACAGACAAATGGAAGAAGGATTGGAGTTAGTCTTCTTGGCCCCAGTAAGCTGAACTAGGAGCAAAGGGAAGAAGTTGGAGAGTCATGGATTTTGGTTTTATATAAGGAAAAAGTTCCTGTCAGCGTTAGCCGGACCTTGGGAAGTGGTGAGTCCCTTATCATTGGAGGTCTTTGGATAAAGGCTAGATGACAACCACTTGTGGACATGCTGTAGGGAAGATTCCCATTCAGGTTAGATTGGACTAAATTACCTCTGAGGGCCCTTCAGCCCCGAGATTCTAACTGGCACCCCTCTCATCGTAAGCTCTTTAGGGGCAGGGATTATGTATGATTTCATTTCATTTTTCCCACAGGGCCTAGCCCAGTGCTTTTTTCACACCTTAGGCATGTAATAAACAGTAGTAGGATAAAATGAACACAAGAATTGGTATAAAAACAATGTTCGTTATTTCTCAGCCAGAGGGTAAGTTCCAAAGGTGCTTACAAGGGAGCTTATATGCCCCAGAAGAAGCAGTGTAGATAGGATTCAGGCTGCTGTGGTTCTACATACAGCCTGAATTACTTGTGAGATTTCCAGTGTAATGCACAGCTAAATGACTACAAGGGGCCCTGATACTTGAAAGTCCAATAAAGCAATAAAAAAGATAATTGTATTAGTGTCTTGGATTCTGTTGGAAGAGTTCAAGACTCACAAGAGAACTATATACAATAATGTAAATGAAAACATCAGTAAATGGCACTGAACTTCCATTAATTGCAATGAACAACCTCGGTTCCAAAGAACAGAAGTGACTGATATGCCTCCTGGGTATAGAGGTGAGGTATAATGGGTGTAAAATGTAGCATAAATTGCAACACTGGATTGCTTTTTTTGGATTGGTTATGTTTAACTGCTTTAATTTGTGCCAAGGGAAGTGTTTTTTTTTTTCAGGGAAGATGGAGAAGTATATTGGAAAATGTAATTTTTTAAAAGAAATTAAAATAGAGGGAGAAAGTTCAAGGTTAAAAGATGAGAACATGGGGCAGTCTGACTGTTAGAGTGCCCCTTTAAAGTGCCCAATAACTCAGTAGACTGCTTCTTTTTTTTTAATGCCTTAATTTCTCCATCTGTAAATTGGAGGCAGCTAAACTTTCATGGAACATCACAGGCTCTGGGATCCTTGAATCTAAGAATCTATAGGTCATTTCCAAGGTTTTCCAAGATTTTTGAGAGTAGGAACTGCTTTTCATTTTTGCCTTTCTATCCTGACCTAATGGTTAGAGGCCTGGCCTGAGGGTCAGAAGACCTGAGTTCAAATCCAGACTTTGGCTTTCCTATACTACAAGTATAAAGCTGAGTATCCCCTTATATCAGAGGAAACCAAGGTTTGGGTCTCTCACAGGGAAATTCCTATGTTTGCCTTTTTTAGAAACAGTTGGCAGGGGAGTAGATTAAGAACTGTACTCAGAGTCGGGAATACTCGAGTTCCAATCCTGTCTCAGACACTTATTAGCTAAGTCGTCTTAGGCAAATCACCTAACCTCTGTCTTTCTGGGGCTCTAACACTTCTGTAGCATGAGGAGATTGGACTCAATGACCCCTGAGATCCCTGTGAGCTCTATATCTATGATCCTATGATCTCATGATCTGTGACCCCGGAAAAACTGTTTAATCTGTTAGTGCCCCAGTGAACTCTCTAAGGGCAGCTAGGTGGAACAGTAGATAGAGTGTTGTGCCTGGACTCAGGAAGACTCATCTTCCTGAGTTTAAATCCTGTCTCAGGTACTTACTAGCTGTGTGACCCTGGGCAAGTCACTTAACTCTGTTTGCCTCAGTTTCCTCATCTATAATATGAGCTGGAGAAAGAAATAGCAAACCACTCTTTGCTAAGAAAACCCCAAATGGAATCATGAAGAGTTGGACACGACTGAAAACGACTCAACAGCAGAACTCTCTAAATCTGTAAGTGGCATTTAATGATTTGTACTGGCAGAGAAAGTTCTTCACCAAGAGCCTCCTATACAAATGAAATCATAAGCCCAGTTTTAAAAAAAAATCCTGCCAAGCATAATGTGTGTTTAAATAAATGTTAAAATGAAATGAAATTAATTAAATGGTGTTTGCATTTCTGGGGAGGGACTGAAGGAAAATATCCTGGCAGGTATTCCATCCCTTCTTGAAGTCCTGGAGAGCTGACTCTTCAGAAAAGGGCTGGCCTCTCTTGCAACCTGGGTGTGGCACACACCTGCCAGACACGTGTGCAGGTAGCCAGAAGGAACCAATTTTTCTTAAGGAAAGGATTGCCCAAAGGACTATTTCTCAATGTTTTTTGTGTTTTTTTTTATAAGTAGGGCTAGCAAGAATTGAAGGTGAGCTGTGCCCCCTACTGAGGCTGCGAAGGAGTCTCCAGAATCTTCTAATAAATCTCTCTACTGGGCAACCAAATAATTAGTATTTGCCAGCGAGGGACAATGGGCTAAACCAAAATGGTGTCCTGGACTTGTTTTCACGTTTCCCTAGTCCTCCCTAAGGTTTTGTTGAACCTTCCATTGGCTTCTCCCTTGTAATGGCTCTGCCCCCAGGACAGCATGAGTTTTTAGTCCCGCTACCTCTCTCTTTAGGTCCCCTCATCTTTACCCTGAGGAAAAGCAGTTTCTCTGGTGGCAGCATAGAATTGTGCATGTGTGCCAATGAAGTTACAAGACAAGATAATTCATGTGACTTTCCTTTTGGTTGAGCGAAAAAGCATTGGATGGAATATGTCAGAATACAAAAGTTCCAGCTCTTCTACTCACTATTTTTCAGACCATGAGTTTTAGTTTTCTCATCTGTAGAGTGAAGGTAAGACTACTTACACTGTCCATCTCAAAGGACTTTTGTGCAAATAAAATAATTGATGTGTTTGCACTATCCAGTACAATGAATATCGAAAGTATCGGGCTATCAGTGCTCAGGCGTGTGAAAGGGGCTTAGAAATCATGTAGTCCCAACCTTTCATTTATAGATGATGAGACACAGGTAGGAAGCCAGTATTCAAGTTCAGGTCTTATGATCTCAAATCCAGATGTGCTACCTCTTTCTAGTTCGGTCCCACTCATCCCCATCTCAACCTCAAACATCCCTAGCCTCTTCAGCTTATTGAAATATTTATAGCAGCTCTTTTCATGGGGGCAAAAAACCTGAAAACAAAGAGGATGCCAAATAATGAAATACTAATGTGCTATAAGAAATGAGAAGAAAGCTGGTTTCAAAGAAACATAGAAAGACTTGTGTGAACTGATGCAGAGGGGGAAGAGAGCAGAGCCCAAAGAACAATATATACTATGATGTCGTTATCATAAACAAACAATTTTGAAAGACTTGAGGACCGATCAGCTAATTGACCAGTCATTTTCCAGGCACGCAGTAAGGAAGGATGCTGCCAACCTGATTGGGAGAGGGGGGACTAACATGTAAAAGAAGAAATGCGTTTTTGGATGTGACCGATGTGGAAACATTTTGCTTGGTTATGTGATATAAAGGTTCTTTCTTTATTTTTAGTTGGGGGGTGGGGGAGTGTAGTGAGGGGGTGGAAGGGAGGAGAAAAAAAAAAGAATGCTTGATTTGTGCCTCCTTTTTCCTGAAGTATCCAACACAAAGTTGAAACGGATTCAAAAGATCAGTTAGTTCCTTCTCTGTGTTTCATGCAGATAGACACTGTTCTACTCCCAAACAATTAAAAATGAGTGTTAGTTTTAAAAGACCTTCCAGAGATGATGATGATGATAATAATTAAACTTCCCTAGGAACCTCTTTTAGCAAATCAATGTTGGGAAGTTCTTCCTTGTGTCTCACTCAAATCCTACAGTTTTAAACCCATTTCTCAGGAGGATAAGAAGAGATGGTTCAGCCTCCAAAGTGGACTTCCTTGTAAGTGAAATCAGAAAAACTACAGCAGAAATCACAGTGTTATGACTTGGGGCACCTAGATCCCTCCTTTATACCAGCAACCCAAAATCCCCATTCCCCTCTCATTGAGACTTTCTGTGACAGGACTGCTGTGCTGCAGCCCAGTTCTCATTTGAAATTTCCTTTATTCTGTAAACATCTGTGTTTAAAATAGATGAGTCCCTGATCACAGTTCACACAATGAACCCCAGACACAGACAGGACAGCAATGTTCACAAGTCACGGAGATGGGCAGGGGCTCAGAAGCCAGTGTCATTTCTGGAGCAAGGCTTCATGCCAAGACAGCAGGAGCAGGGATGGTAGAGACGGGCTAATAGCCAAGGGGAGCCCTGCAATGGCCTAGGCTTCGTGCCATTCCCACGGGCCATTTCTTGGGCCTATGGAAGGGTTATGAGACACCAATACTGTTACTCCCCCCTGCCCCAAACCAGCTTCTCCCTTAAAACAAAATCCTATCTTCCACCAGCATCTACCTCCCCTAACACGCCAATTGGTGATGAAGCCTCCTTTCCAGGACCTCTAGCAAGGGGTAGAATCTGGCCCCATTCTCCTGAGGAGGGAAATGTATATCTCTGCCTGATTTACAGGGAACTAGTGCCCATCACACTCTTGTGGACATAGGGAGCGCTCAGTAAATGTGTTGATTGAATTGGAGGCTACCTTGATGCATACGTTAGCATGAGCATCCCGTGCCCAAAATAATACCGCCTTGCTCTGACCCAGTGGGGCATCCCAGGTTGAATGCAAGATGCAGACTGGCTTTATCTGCACCAAGACGCTGTGATTCCTCCTGCTGGTGATGACTTTCCCCCCTCATATGGAATTTGTTTTGTACTTCTATAATACGCTTATGTACCACTACATAGTTTAGTCATCTCTGCTTGTGTCTTACCTTTTTACCAGACTATACACTCCATAAAGGCAGGATTCCAGTATTTTACATAAACTCTGGATGGCCTCAAGCAACTAACAGTGCAGGCCCCCATCACTTCACAGTTAGACTATTGCAATACTGCTATTGGTTGGTCTACCCAACACTTTAGTCCATCCTCTGTTCAGCTGCCAAAGTGATTTTCCAAAACGCAGGTCCAAACACGTCGTCATCATATTCAGTAAACTCCAGTGACTCCCTATCACCTCCAGGATCAAATACAAAATCCTGTTTGGCATTCAAACCCTTTATAACCTAGCCCCACCTAGTCCTCCTCCCCCACCTTTCTAGTCTTCTTATACCTTACATGATCCACACCCACATACATACTCTTAGGTCCAATAACGTTGGCTTCCTTGCTTACTATTTTATGAATAAGCTCTGGGCATTTTCCCTGGCTATCCCCCATGCCTGGAATGTTCTCCTTCCTTGTCTCTGCCTCCTAGCTTCTGGGGTTTCCTTCAAGTCCCAACTAAAATCCCACCTTCTATAGGAAGCCTTCAAGCTCGAATTAATTCTAGTGCCTTCCCTCTGTTGGTTATTTCCTATTTATCCCATACATAGCTTGTTTGCACTTTTTGCTTGTTGTCTCCCCCATTACAGTGTGAGATCCTTGGGTGCAGGGCCTGTCTTTTGCCTTTCTTTGTATCCCCAGTGCTTGGCACAGTGCCTGGCACATAGGAGGCACTTAATGCTTATTGACTATCAATTAAGCATCTAATAGAGGCTTAATAAATTTAGCTGATTTAAATGGAGTCCCATCTCATCTCCTCTCCCTTAACCTTAAGTCTCTTATTAATTACAAGTCCCACATGTTCATATTTTTCCTACCAGCCTGAACCTATTCCCATTCTTATCTTCCCTGGCCTTTCTATAACCTGAGTTATAGGGAAAAGACTGAATTGAACTATTCAGATAGCGTGTTGTAAGGGGTGCATGGTCACAGACACCCTTTACTCCTTGCCATGGTATTCAATGAATTTTACTTCCAAGCTGCTGAATCCCCAGTAGTCTTGTTAGGGCCCCTATCTGAGGTATCAAGAGGCAGCTGGATAAATGACCTCTCCTCTAGGCTGCTCCTATATTAGGATGCCAGGGTGGGGGTGACCCCAAAGGAGAGCTGATTACCCTGATCTCCCAAGGGGCAAGCATACTTTCAGTCTCTTTAGACTTGAAGGCAAGTTGGCCCATCCTAGGACTGTGACATGTGGAGCCTCAGGAGCACAGGGGAAAGGAGGCATCTTCCTAAATTAGAGGCTCTGAATAAACATCACGGACTCCTTCTTTCCTGCTAGCAGCCACAGTACAATGAGTTTTCAGCTGGAAATATTCCATCACCATCAGCCCACTGGAGGAGCAAGATGTGCATACTTCATCCTTAAGGGTGCCCAGAATATCATTAATAGCTTCTCACCTAGGATCTGGTACTTCTCCCACTCTTCAGCCTCATTCCTGAAACAAAGGTAGGATATATAAAAGTCTATGACCTTCTCCCACTAATTCTTTATCAAGCAAATCCATGGATCAGGTTAGAAGGGAGTTGGATTCAAGAAAAGGGTACTGAAGAGGTACAGCTTCCCTCCCCAGTCCCAAGGGATCATGGGAAAATGGTTTTCTCAGAAAGTGAAGGCGGAAAACTAATTCCACCTTTCCTTGAGGATGTAGTCCAAGAGAGAATTGTTGCCGTCATCTCACAGACTACCCTCCTTTTCCATGGATTTTATATCTGGCCCCCCAACCAATCCCTTAAGAATTTGTCTATATTGGTAACATTAGTCCTAAAGTCTTCCCCATAGTAGGATCTCATCTCCCTGATCTACTTGCTCCAAATATAGCAGCCCAGGAACAGGAACAGAAAAATGCATGTGCTTATGAGTAAGGAGAAGATGGA